CCCCCCGCTTCCGCACCACATACATATACTGAGGCATGAATCTATTCAATAAGGGATGTATGATTATATAAATGCCTATACAGTTAAAAAAACAATCTGTGTATTACAGATAAACGTTAGGTTAGACTTAAAATAGCAACTTTATAATGGCGCTACAAAAAAAACTGTACATTTTTTGTAGATTTTTTATCAGCATCTTATAAGCTCATAATAAAATATCACAGTTTGAGTCAATTCGACTGAACCACTTTTTTCATATGATTAGTGCGGAGTCCTTTCGAAAACATTTTATTACATAAATTTAAGAAGTATTTGTGAATAAAACATGATTCCAAATAAGATGTATATTTGTTTTTTCCGTTATTTGTAAAACTGAAATCCTGAAGTCATGAAATGAAACAAATTTAAATTTTAACTTTTTAATTGCTGGTTTTTTATTAACTTAACTTTTAATTCAATTAATTTCATTATGGGTTAAATTCATCTTAATTAAGGTAAATTTTCAAAGTCATTAACTTTAACTTAACTTAGAAAAAAAGTTAACTTATCCAACTTTGGTAATATCACATTGTTAGAGTCCGTGTAATATAGAGACTGGTCACTCACTTAGTATACATATAGCGGCAGGCGGCAGTGTATATATATATATATATAGGACGTAAAAAACTTAGACCGACAAACTTTGAGTGGAAATAGAGGACATAAAAACGAACATATTTTGTTAATAATGTTTTTCTCTACGACGCTTCGTTTTAATACTACAGGGTGCAAAATAGGAACTTTATGATTTTAATAAAAAACAAACATATAAGTGGAAAAATTAAATTTATTTCAATTACACATATATATTTTAATCTTCAAAAAATAATGAACAAAAGAACAGAACAAAAATGCGCAATTGATTAGCTCAATTTATAATAAATGTTCAAAAATTGCTCCTAGTGCTTCAACACAAAGATGATGTCGTCGAAAATTAGGTTAACGATTCCGTTTCTGTTTCAATGCCTCATCGATAAGAGTTATGAAAGTAAATACAAAATACCCTTGTGAAGCACGCTTCATTAATAAACATTTTTATAGGGGCATATGAAAACTCTCATTTATGAGACACCTATTGAAACAGAAGCAGAATTGGTAGCCCGAATTACTGCTGCAGCATATCAGGTTCAGAATATTCCTGCAGCCTTCAGAGACAATCAATGTTTCGATGATGTCATCTTTGTGTTGAAGCAAGTGAAGGAAGTTTTGAACATTTATTATAAATTGAGCTAATCAATTGTGCATTTTTGTTCCGTTCTTTTGTTCAATGTTTTTTGAAGATTAAAATATATATATATATATATGTAATTGAAATAAATTTAATTTTTCCACTTATATGTTTGTTTCTTATTAAAATCATAAAATTCCTATTTTGTATCCTGTAGTATTGAAAAAATGTGTTGTAGAGAAAAACATTATTAACCAAATATTTTTGTTTTTATGCCCTCTATTTCCCCTCAAAGTTTGTCGAAAAAGTTATCATTACGAGATTTTGAAAATTGCGAACAAATTAACCCCTCAATTTGCATTATTAATAAGAAACCCAACTAGTAAAACAATAAAAACATTTAAACATTTAAAAACGTTTTAATAACATTTAAAAACATTTTTTAAAACGTTAAAAATAACGGGATAAGTCCCCAATTTTCATTAAAAAAACATTTTTTAACGTTTACAAAAGTTTTTCGTTTTTTAATATTTAATAGAAGTTTGACATTCATGAAATATTAAAAAAAAACATAATATTTTTCCAATCCGTTAAACAAAACATTTTTTAATGAAAAAAGGAAATTTACCCAGAAAGCATACAGTATTTATGATAAAGATTCATAAATATTTAGGTCGAATTATTTATAAAAATATTACATAAATATTTTATAAATATTTCTATACATAAAGAAAGACGTATCAAAATCTTTATTCAAACTATTATTAAGATATACGCTAAATATTTTATACAATATTTATGGTAAACAAAATATACAGACAGTTTATCGATACTTTCCATCGTACAAAGGATGTAAAAATTTAACATTCGTTCCCTGTATTGGCTATATAATCGATTTTTTAAGTGTTATCAAGAGACACGGTAGTGATTTACATCAAATGCACACACCGCGAGGTCGACAATATATGCTTATGTAATGTGCAAAAATAATAAAATCAAAATCTTGCATTACTTAATAATAATAAAGAAATAATAATTACTTAAATTTTTCTGAATCCTGTTCTAATAATCTTGACCTTGATATATGTTAAGAGATTATATGTAAATGCTACATTTAAAAAATGCAATAGGCAATAAATTGTATCTCTTTTAAGAGTCAAACAATAGCGGTCTGGAAAATTAACTTAGTAAATTTCCACTTTTCCTCCACGTTTTTCTTTTTATTTAATTTTTATTTCATTTATATTATATGTTTATTATATAGTATTATACTTATATTATACAATTATTATATTGTTATATTTACATTATATATTTATTATATTATTTTATTATATTTACCTTATTTATTATTTTTTTTATTTTAATACTATATTTATTAAGGGTATTATAGAATATCATATAATAGTAATGAAATTTTCGAGAACTTCGTATACAGGGTGTTCAAAAAGTCCCGAACCGGTGAAATATCTCGAAAACTAAGCATTTTAGAAAAAAATGTTTCAGATAAAAGTTGTGGCGTTTAAAAAGATGTATTTACTGATCACATCAGTTTGACCTTGGGTTGCGTAGCGAAGGTCAGGTCAAGGTCACATTAATTTTTTTAAATGGAACACCCCATTTTTCATTGCATATTCTTATAGCACATCTCGA